TTACAACTAGAATATACAACTATGTACTGGGGCTTTGGGGAGGAAATATATATATATATTATATATATATAATATATATATTATATATATATAATATATATATAATATAAAAGATATTTAAGTAAGATTCTCTAAACTGACAGAAGTAAATTATGGACTGTCATTTCTTAGACATCTTTTTCCATCTCACACTGGGCAGAACCTCTCTCTGGGTTTTTAAAGCATCATATAACAAAGGGGGCTTTGGGGGTATCATGAATGTTCTATTTTTATCCAGATGTCAATTACATACACATGTTCATTCTGAAAGTTTATTGAGCTGTACATTTACAATTTTTGGACATTTCCATATGATTTTATGTGGGGATTCATAAAGACAGCAAAACTATGCTGCCACCTTTCCAGAATCCCTAAAACTGATAAATTCTTGATTTACTCATCCTTTCATCTCCCACAAATTAGAGGAAGGAATAACGACAAACTTTATTCCCGGATTAATTCCTGAAAGCAAAGAAGAAACCGATATGTGATGTGGAAATGACAGAAATACTGGGAGAAAATAACCATGTCAAACGACAACTTATTGAGAACTTGCTAAATATTGAGAAACTAAGAACATTAAATGGACCTGCAAAGAGAGAGCACAGAATAGCTGAGAACTCTGCAATTAACCCACGAACTTGCTTCATAATTTACTAAACTATGTGACTTAAGAAAGGTTATTTTATTCCCGTAAGACTATTCCTTATCTGTAAAATGAGTTCAATAACACCTACCTTAAAGGGATTTGTGAGGATCAGAATTAAGATACTGATGCACATATCTGAAATGTATCTGAAATGAATGAATATTATTATTGTGTAGGAAAGGTAGTGCAACCTGATGCGACACTACCACAAAAAACACAGTTGAGTTTCTTTAGGACTATAACAGTATCTTTCACCTTGGTATCATTGGCATCTAATATAATGCCTGATACACAGTAGAGTTTCAATGAATATTTTATTAATTGAACCATGTATGACTTGAGAGAGGTTAGCAAAATAGCAGTGAGAGAATTAAGAGTAAAATAATAGATTTTGTGTGTAAAAATCAAGCAGAAATAATTGTAGATTAAATTTTCAAGAAGTTTTACAGAAAATAGCAATTGGATATGAATGTAGGATTGAAGAAATGTGTTTATTTTAAAGAAGATTTAAATAGAAAAGAGACAAAGACTGACTTAAAATGTTAAGATAAGAGAGATTAAAATTGATGATGTAAACTTTCTGTTAAAATGGTTTCTATTTTTTTTTATTTTTTATTTATTTATTTTTTGTGTGTGAGGAAGATCAGTCCTGAGCTAACATCTGAGCTAATCCCCCTCTTTTTGCTAAGGAAGACCGGCTCTGAGCTAACATCTATTGCCAATCCTCCTCCTTTTTTTTCCCCAAAGCCCCAGTAGATAGCTGTATGTCATAGTTGCACATCATTCCAGTTGCTGTATGTGGGACATGGCCTCAGCATGGCCAGAGAAGCGGTGCGTAGGTGTGCGCCTGGGATCCAAACCAGGGCTGCCAGTAGCCAAGCGGCGCACTTAACCGCTAAGCCACGGGGCCGGCCCCTGAAATGGTTTCTAACGGCTCTGCAAGAAGCATGTCCCAACTTCCTAATAAAATGCCCAGGAAAATAGAAAAAATACCTATACTACTAGCCAATTAAAAACTATAGACAATCAGATGCCAGGGTTCAGGAGGAACTAAAGCTAATTATGAGACAAATAGAGGTAAACTAAGAAATAAAAAACAATCCACTTATTAAATGCCCTGATGCCTTTGCTTATGAAAAACAAGTCACATGGAAAAGGAAAGGGGCGGGGGGACCATCATTCCTTGGATTTGAAGGCCTACAACCTAAACCAAACAAAAAAGGGATGCTATCTTTATCTAGACCAAAGATAGAAAGAAAAGAGTCAACCTCCTTTACCCTCTTGCCTCCACCAGCATTTTTTAAGATCTAGACAAAGATCACAAATCACAAGATGTAAATCGTGGGAGAGTGGGGAGTGAGGTACTGGCAGTGGCAGAGTACATTCCAAAAGTCAGAGTCTCAAGGAGCAACATGTTTGAAAGGAAAAAATAAGAACCATGGATGGCCAGCCTGGTGGCATAGTGGTTAAGTTCGCATGCTCCGCTTCGGTGGTCCGGGGTTCGCAGGTTTGGCTCCCGGACAGCGACCTACGCACGGCTTACCAAGCCATGCTGTGGCAGCATCCCATATAAAGTAGAGGAAGATGGGCACAGATGCTAGCCCAGGGCTACTCTTCCTCAGCAAAAAGAGGAGGATTGGCAACAGATGTTAGCTCAGGGCTAATCTTCCTCACCAAAAAAAACAAAAAACAAAAAAAAAAGAAGAACCTTGGTCACAGTACACAAATGAATTGTAGTTTTATTGTAAAACTTACAGGTCTAAGTTTTAGAGAATCAGTCACTGGGGGATAGGAAAAAGTTGCCAATTAAGTAAAAATGTATATAAAGTATTGGCAAATCAGAATTCCTAATGATTTAAAATAATACATCAAACAAGTAGTTTATTCCAAGAATATAAGGATGGTTCATCATTTTAAAAAATGTATTACATTTTAAATAGGAAAAACAATGTGATCAACTCAACAGATTTATAGAAGTAGAAATACAAATGGCCAATAAACTTAAGAAGCACAAACTCATTAGTAACCATGACAGATGCAAATAAAAACTATGTTTTCTGATCATTAGAATGACAAGAGATTTAAGACTGATAACAGCCAATAATGTCCAAGGAAACAGGGAGTCTAACACACTTGTGGTAAAAGCTGAAATAGGTACACTCTTTCATGTAAATTCTATCATTTTTACCTGTTTACAAGTACTGGTACCGGAATATAAAATATTTTTCACATCACGTGTATTAGCATTCAATTAGTCCAGTGGTTCTCAAATTTTCTGGTCTCAGGACTCCTCTGCACCCCTAAAAATCAGTGAGCAGATGAATGGTTGCTTGGGGCTGGGGGAGGGCTATCTACAAAGGGGCAAGAGGGAATCTGGAGTGCGGGATAAAATTGTTCCATATCTTGATTGTGGTGGTAGTTACACGACTGCATGTGTTTGTCCAAAATCACAGAACTTTACATTTAAAAAGGGTGAATATAATGTATGTAAATTAAATCTTTAAAAAGCCTGACAAAAAACCTCTTGACTCTAAAGAGTTTTTATGTGGGGAACATGTATCAATACTTAGCATATTAGAAATTATAACTGAGGGCCGGCCCCGTGGCTTAGCGGTTAAGTGCTCGCGCTCCGCTGCTGGCGGCCCGGGTTCGGATCCCGGGCGAGCACCGACGCACCGCTTCTCCGGCCATGCTGAGGCCGCGTCCCACATACAGCAACTAGAATGGATGTGCAACTACGACATACAACTATCTACTGGGGCTTTGGAGGAAAAATAAATAAATAAAATCTTTAAAAAAAAAAAAAAAGAAATTATAACTGAGAAAATTTTAAAATAATTATTTATGTATTCATTTTAAAAATAATAAATGCACTAAATGTTAACAAAAATAATATATTTTTTATGAAAAGTAACTATTTTCCAAAGCAAAAAACATTTAGTGAGAAAAGTCACACCGTTTTATATTTTAGCAACTCTCTTTCATGTCTGGCTTCAAATAGAAAACCGCTGGATTCTCATATCTGCTTCTGCATTCGATCTGTTACAGTATCACAGGTCAGGCAGCCTTTGGAAAACTCCGCTGTACACTTGTGAGAAAATGAGTGTGAAAAAGAGAAATAACATCTGCATATTATTTTGCAAATAATTTTGACCTAAAAGTGTCAGGAACCCCAGGGGTTCCTGGACCACACTTTGAGAACATCTGATTGAGCTTACACAAAAAAATATCAAATACTGAATATGGCATAACAATATAACGGACCTGTTTTCAGATCAAGGAAGCTGTATCTTATGCAGATTATCTATGCAGATCTAATACAATAACATTCTCCCTATCCAGGTCGAAACTTCTACCAAACCATGATTTAGACTGAGCTACAAATTTGAACGTAAATGAAAAATATTTCTGAGGTCCAAGGGTTTTATAGACCAGTAGTCCACAGAGGTACAGCATGGTCCTCCAGCCGTCACTCATCAACTCGCTGTAGGGACCAGGCAGAGTAAAGGCAGCCCCGGCACACAGAAAGCAGACAAAGAAAGTGCCTAACCTCAAAGAAAGAGGAGATCCGTGAAACGAAAGGCAGGTAAAAAGCAAAGCAATATAGGAGCAAACACATCCTGCACGTAAAATACAAGAACATGCAAGTCTTGCTGCTTGATGGCATCGATAAAGAACCCACAATGCTGCGTTACGACGACATCCCCAGCCACAGAGAGTGAAACTGCCAGACGACTCTTACTTGTGCAGTGTCACTCGTGTGACCGAAAACGGGAAGTCACTCTCTTCTCAACTATCATCTGTCTACCGTGCTAAGCAAGGTGACAGAACACCGCGTTACGGGGAAGACTGGTGGGACTACCTGAGGCTTTGTGTTTAATAAGAGTTTACACAATTTTCATAACTGGACGGCAGTCCAGGACTGTTCACGACTCCCAGCGCCGAAGTCAAACTTGCCGTCCCCGGGAGCTCCGTTCCCAGGTGACTTTTAATACTTTCCCAGGAAGCGGTGGCACCGCCGGGAGACCGCGCAAACCCTGGCGGGCACCGGCCTCCTGTCCCCTGTCCCGGGGGTCCTTCCCGTGGCTATAGGGCCAGCCCCTCACCCCCTGAGGCGGCGTCGCGGACCCCAAGTCGCGCCTCCTTCGACGAGTGCCCAGGCCACCTCCCTTCCCGGCCTCGGTTTCCCCATCTGTACTCGAGGGGTCGGACCAGCCGGCTCTGGGCGCCTCTCCAGCTCGGCGGTCACCCGGCTGAGCCGTCCTCGCCCCGAGGGGACCCTGAGGGGGCCAGCCCGCGGCGCCGCACTCACCCGGCTGACGCTTCAGCGCCATCACCGACACCAGGTAATGGGCGATGTCAAAAAAAGGGAACATAGACGTGCGAGAAAAGGCCAGGGTCAGCTTATCCCACTCAGAGTCCATGACGACGACCCACCACAGCGGCCGCAGCAGCCGCCACTACGGTTGCCCGGCGTGCGCGGCAAGCGGTGGGGGAGGGGGCAACAGCGGCCGCGCGCCCTTCGGCGCGGCCTGGAGGAGCCCTGCGCGTGCGCCCAGGCTCCCGGCGCCGGCGCGCGGAGGGGCGGGGCCGCGTGTCCGGAGAGCCGCCGGCGCGCGGGCGATTGGCGGGGAGGCGGGCGAGCGGGCTCCGGGCTGTTCCCTGGTTCTCCTAAAAAGGGTGCAGCGTTTCCTCCCTGCTGGGGGCTGTGCCAGACCCCGGAGAATGGGCAGATGAAGGAAACATAAATAAATGAATAAAAAATACATTATTTATGGTAACATTTAGTGCATTTATTTTTAAAACGAATACATAAAGAACTATTTTAAATTTTTCTGTTATAATTTTTAATATGCTAAGTATTGATACATGTAACCCACATGAAGTCTTGAGGACTTTTTGGGGGTCCTCAAGAAATTTTTTTAAGTCGGATTTTTTAAAGGTTTAATTTCCATACATTTTATTCACCTTTTTAATATAAAGTTCTATGATGTTGGATAAACACATTCAGTCTGGAAGGGGAGACTCTCAGAGTCGGATTTATTTCTGTAAATTGATGTCATTCTCCTAGCATTTCTCGAGCAACCACAGTGTGCAAATCACACCGTGACTTACTGAAGATATAAAAGAGAATACGATAATATCCTGCACTCAAGAAACTTGTGTTATCCCAAGAGAGATTAAAATCTTTTTTAAAAGGACATACATAGTTTGTACAAAGCAGGTAGTGAGCAGTGTAGGCGCCGAGCCAAGGCAGTTCCGAGGAGAGGAAAACTATTTCTGGGAACTGGTAAGGTGAACTGGCCTTTAAAAGCCAAGTGAGACCTTACACCCGTCAGAATGGATATAATTACCAAGATAGAAAACAACAAATGTTGGAGAGGATGTGGAGAAAAGGAAACTCTCATACACTGCTGGTGGGAATGCAAACTGGTACAGCCACTATGGAAAACAGTATGGAGATTCCTCAAAAAATTAAAAATAGAAATACCATACGATCCAGCTGTCCCACTACTGGGTATTTATCCAAAGAACTTGAAGTCAACAATCCAAAGAGGCTTATGTACCCCTATGTTCATTGCAGCATTATTCACAATAGCCAAGACATGGAAGCAACCCAAGTGCCCATCAACTGATGAATGGATAAAGAAGATGTGGTGTATATATATATATACATATATACACTGTGTGTGTGTGTGTGTGTGTATACATACAATGGTATACTACTATACTATAAAAAAGACAAAAGCGTCCCATTTGCAACAACATAAATGGGCCTCGAGGGTATTATGCTAAGCGAAATAAGCCAGACAGAGAAAGACAAACAGCGCATGATCTCACTCACATGTGGAAGATAAACACACGGGAGGAGAGAACAGATTAGTGGTCACTAGAGGGGAAGGAGGTTCGGGGGTGGGCTAAAGGGGTAAAGGGACACATATATATGGTGACAGATAAAAATTAGACTATTGGTAGTGAGCACGATGCAGTGTATACAGAAACTGATGATAATGTACACCTGAAATCTCACAATGTTATAAAATCTTATGACTTCAATAAAATAAAAAAATTTTTTTAAAAAGCTAGGACAGAGATGGAGGGAGGTATTTGGGCTAGACTACAAAGTGAGAAATAGGTTGGAAAAGTCTTTGAATGGCAGACCATAAACCAGGCGGTTTGGCTCCAGAAGCGAAGCTCTTGATCACTACGGGATGCTCAGGCAAATCAGAACCAGAATCCAGTCTCTTAACCATTCATTATGCTAAACTGGGTTTTTTTGGGGGGGAGGGGCGGGATTTGAGGGGAGCAACAAGATTAAGAACAGATTGGTGAGAAGAGACTAGAGACAGGGAAAATCGGAGAGTATTCGCTGGTCCAAGCACAAGGTAGGCTGAGGACAGTAGGAGCAGGGACCTGGGTGGGGAAAGAGGCAAGAGGAGCAGAACAGGCTGCGTGTCAACTCCTCCCATCAAAGGAGGATATGGGGAACGGATGAGAGGAGGATTACAGTTGCGTTCAGAGAAGCAGGAAACAAGAAAGAGAAGCAGGTTTGGGTAGGAAAAACACAAGTTTAGTTTGGTACATTTTTTATTTGATGTGTCAATAGATCATGCTGGCACCAGGAAATCAGAAATACATAATGAGTTGCTAGATAGGTAAGAGCCACATGGGAGTACACACTGCAAAGGAAGACTTCTACTGATTTTTTTATCTGAATATTTATCTGTGGCTTTTAATTCAGTCAACAAATGTTTTTTGGGTGCCTGCTATGTAGCAGACGTTTTGCTGGATGGCAGAGGCCCCACTCTAAACACTGAGTGTTCAAAAGGTGGGAAAATTGTAGTAAATCTCCACATTTCATTACTTATCAAGAAAGAATAGACTTGTTAAAATACTTTTCATATGTGGTTTTCTAAGTAAGCACTTCCTATTGGAGAAAGGGTTTTAGACCTCTGGCAAAACTACAGAAAAAAAGCAACACCTGTGATTATTTATACTTTCATGTTTCAGTTGGTTCTTTTCATACTTTTTAAACATTCCCTTATCTTTGGAATTATAGAGTTGTGAATTTAGAGGCAGAACTTGTATATTATTTCCCAAAAGGTTTTACCTTTCAACCGTCTTAAATTCCACAAAACATATGTTTTGTCCTTGGACTTAAAAAAAAATACTAAATATGAATAGTTCTTACCACATCTCTAAGTCATATGTCTATGCCAGTATCATTCTGGGGTATAATTAAATTTATTATTAACAACAATAGGGCAACAGTGAAAATCATCAGAGATTTTTTTTAAAAGATAAATCAAACATTTTACTTAACCTAAACAGATTAATTCCAGAGAAAGGAATTAATCATTTCAGACTCTGTAAGTAATCTGAAATTTGTTTCATTTCAAATCTGTAAGAATAAGCTGGGTCCCCATCTGCTGAGACCATAAAGAAATTTCAAAAAAAGATCTAAGGGAAATGAAATAGTAATCTCACCAGAAAACAAGTCTTATCTAAATTTTAAATGTGCTCACTGTATTTGCTTCTAGTCAGTGCTTCAGTTATTTAGTGTAATGAAATGGGACAAAAAGAAGGAAATGGTGAATGAAAGGAGGGAAGGCTTTGAACTGGCAACAGGGAAAAGCAAGATTTGGGGAAATTATGTGTGAAAATTAAAACTTTTCCTGACTTTTGGAAGCTGTCTGCAAAGTTACATAATTATTACGAATAAAATGAATCCAAAGTATTGTTTATCCTTTAGAAAGCAAAACTGGTCTAATTGTATGAACATCTGAAAAAGAGTTTTAACTAAACATATTCAAAGCATTGAGTTCAAAAACATGTAAAGCTAATTTTTATAAACCAGGTTTCTCAGCAGCAATACTATTGACATTTTGGGCTGGACGATTCTTTACTGTGGGCAATGGGGTTTTATGCATCATAGGACATTTAGCAGCATCCCTGGACTCTACCCATTAGATGCAGTAGCACGTGCATGCGTACGCACCTGTGCACATGCACATACACACACACCAATTGTGACAACCAAAAATGTCTCCAGACATTGCCAAATGTCCCCTGGGAGGGGCAAAAACAGTCTTGGTTCAAAACTACTGTCATAAATGAATAAATTATTTTTTCGGCATCATATGCCTCTATTTGTACAAACATTGTGGTCATGCCGCTAATATTAATCATCAGGTTAATTCTAAAACAACTCACATAACCCTTCTTAGTCTCAGCTTGTTCATCCATCCCCTGGCTCAAGTTGGCAACATCCCGAAACCCAGTATCACAAATGCAGTGCTAGCTATTTCTTCTCTGCAATACTGCTTTCGATCCACTGAGTGGCCTGCCTTCCGCTTTGGGAAATCAATAACAGTAACATTTTAAAGGACCATAAAGAGTCTATGATTAGGAAGTTTCACTTTAAAAGGATCAATTACACCTCTAAGCTTTAGTATTCTCATTAGGCATTTTCATTCTAAGTTTATTTTGATAGGTATTTGATAACTACATCATATCAAATTATAGCTTAACAATGTATGACATTTAAGACAAAATGTGTTTAATTTGAATTCAACTTTTTTAATGTTCAGCTATATCAGACAGAATTAACTAGAGAGCACTAATTGCCCTCAAAAAGCCCACCGAATTCCATCAGTACAATGAGCTGCTGATGCATGAGATTTAAGTGATAAACAAATTCAAGTATACACTCAACTCTTTAGACTCAGTGGATATCTAATAATAGTGCCTTGGATATGGTGACTTGGAAAATCTGACCTGACTCACTTATTTCTTGCACTGGAAACTAAACTCCTTTTCTATAAACATCACTTATACCTCTAATATAAACTATTAGACCAAAAATGTTCTCCATGTGTAACAAGCGCAAGTTTAGCTAATTAAAAAAACTGATGTTATTAATGGGAATATCTCTAGTATTCATCCGTGTAAGGATGGCCAAAACTGCCGTCACTCACCAGTGCCATAGCTGCCAGGTGTCTGTGGTTACCAGCATTCAAGGTTACAATTCATCTTTATTCAAGAGTAACAGGTACCATTAAATCAAAGAATAATAGAATTGTGGTCATTGAATGGACCCTTTTAAAAAAAAGTACCTTCGATTGCAAGTCATAGAAAACAGTTCTGGGCAGCTTAAACAATGTGAGGGACTTACTGAAAGGCTCTCAGGGAATCTCATGAAAGCCAAGGTAGAGTTGAGCCATCAAGCTCCAAGAAGAGCAAGAGGCTGGGCATTTCTGGGGCCAGCAGCAGCAGGTGGGTGTGGGCTGTTCTCAGTCACTAATGACAGTGAGTGTCAACATTGTTCAGTCTCTGTGTCCCCCAATTCACTATGGCCAGGAAAGAGAGCCTGCCCTGGTCTGGGACAGATGTCCTCTCCTGGTTAATCAGCTCTGGGACTCACAGCATCCCTTGTTATTGGAGGCAATGTCCTGAGAAAGGAAGGAACCAGGCAGCCATCACAAGAAGTGTCTGTTACAATCATTTTCTTTAG